GGGTGGGTGGGCACAGGCCAAGGGGGCCGCCGGGCGCTCTGAGGGGGTGCGGGTGGCGGCCGTGCTGTGCAGCATCTCAAAAGGCATGTTTTGGTTTTCTCCAGCAACCACAGAAGCCGAGACGGAGCCGAGCCTCACCCCCAATGTGATGCTCAACACAGAAAGCAGCGAGGGATATGTGGTGAAAGTCAGGGGGCTGCCTTGGTCCTGCTCCACCGAGGAGGTGCAGAGGTTTTTCTCTGGTAAGCAGAATTTGAGGGGGGGGATAAGGGTCTGGGAGAGGGACCAGGCTTTGTTGTCAATTCTGGACTTCTCTTGGGGACACTACAGCAGTGACAGTGCTGCAGTGAGCAGTTCCAGAAAGCATTCAGGGCACTTCAGTAGTTAGTGAAGTTTGTAGTGCAACAAGTGCCTCAGCTAGCATGACGTATGGAAAGCTATGGTTTTGCTAGCAGGAACTAGACGCAAAGGAGCTTACTACATGGGTTGCTGGGATATCCACAACTATCTCAGCTTCTTGAGCAGCCAGCAGAGAGAAGCTTCTATTTTAGAGAAAACATCAAAAATCTTGCTTCATGTTGAACTAAGTCAATTTAGTTCTTGGTGTTGTCCTGATAGATTCTCTTGTGTTAAGTGTTTAGTGTGTTGTGTCCTTCCCCCAAATTGTTAGCATCCTGCAGTAATAAATAGTGGTGATAAATACATGCTTTCTTCAGTGACTGGAGATTTTAAAGCTGCTTCAGGAGTTTGGCGTATTGGACTTGGTTCTGATTTAGTTCTCTACGCTTATACCAACTGTTACTACTCCTCATTTCACTTCATGCTGATGAGAAGGTTTAAGTCAGTTGTGATCAAAATCAGGTAGCACATTCAACTTGGCTTGAGGCAGCAAAGCTTTGAAAATAGATAGCTAATTTGCATTTATTGTTAATGTTTTGCTAATTTCAGACTTGACGAGGGTAACTTTTTAGTTAGTTCCTTAGTTTGTTGGTCACTGTAAGAGCCGTGACAAGAATACTGCTGGTGTACAACTTGATAGTTGTTGCCAGTTTTTTCCTTTTAGAATATCTGAGACTTTTAAAGTCACAATATTCCTGTAATAATGAAATTAATTCTGGCCTTCGTATTTAATTTTCAGATTGCAAAATTCTAAATGGGGCTTTGGGTATCCGTTTCATCTACACCAGAGAGGGGAGACCAAGTGGAGAAGCATTTGCTGAACTTGAATCAGAGGAGGATGTGAAATTGGCACTGAAAAAAGACAGAGAAACAATGGGACACAGATATGTTGAAGGTTTGACTCAGTTGGTCTAGTAACTGACTAAATGTGTTTGTGCTTGATGGGATTTTGGTTAATTGCTTTTCTGTCTCTTTTAAAATGCATGTGAAAGGATAAATGGACTTCTATATCATAAGTTGACTAGTTTCAAGGTAAATGACTTTTAAAACTGTTGTGTATTCCAAAATGCATTAATTCTAAGTGCCTTTTACAGTTTTCAAGTCAAACAACGTTGAAATGGATTGGGTTCTGAAGCATACTGGTCCCAACAGCCCTGATACGGCTAATGATGGTTTTGTACGTCTTAGAGGACTCCCATTTGGCTGTAGTAAAGAAGAAATTGTACAGTTTTTTTCAGGTATGTGGGATAAAAGTAGTAGCTGTAGCACTATTGGTCTATGCTAAAAAAAAAAAAACCAACACCAAAAACCAACACACCACGCATTGCCCAGTAGTACTTCCAACAGTATACTGATGGGTATTAAAAGTAAAGCACTTCTTCGTAAGTTATCTGGGCTTGAGGAATCAATTCCTAAAGTACTTGTTTGTTCAATAATTGAGGGAACTCCAAAAAGCTTCTCTAATAGTGGGACATGCTGTTCCAAGTAAGGATAGCAGAAAACAAGTGTCTAGAAATGAACAATTCAGATGGGACAGTGTTTCCACCCACAGTCTTACCTGGTTCACGCTGTTCAGTGAAGGATGTAGAACACCCTTGCTGCTGGGCTCAGTACAAGGAGCAGGAGCTGAGGAAGGGCGTGCATCGTGCCCATGATGTTTTAAAAATGTAGATTAGTGTTGAGTAAAATTCTGGGGGGGGGGAAAAACAAAACCAAACCAACCTGCTAAACTCTACCCAGGTGAAGATTTCCCCCCTCATGAGGGGGAAGGGAAAACTCTTGATGTTGTGTAGCTTAAATTTTTTTATGGATGAAGAGATAATGTCTTGTATTGACTCATTCTCGCTTTTTTGCAGCTTTTGTGTGTTTTAGGAACTGGAATACTATCATAAATCCATAAAGAATGAAATCTGTTGATTTATCTAGGATTTGTTAGTATTTTCAAAGTAGTAGATTTCTAAATGTGAGTGTTAAAGCTAGCTGGAATGTTTTGCTATAACAAGATATGATTGAGCTTACTATTTTGCTTTAAAATACAGTAGAAATATTTCCAATTTTACAACTTCAGAACTTATTTTTTGTTTTCTGATTCAGTAATGTATTGTGAACAAGAGCAATTCCTAAGCATGTGCATTTTAAGTTGTTTCTTTCTTACGTGGTTAAGTAATTCAAGCTTTAAAAACTGTTAATGTGCTTAATATACAAAATGTGCCTCTTCTGTTCAGAAACTAATACTTCTGAAATTACTTCATGATTTTTTTCTTGATTAAGCAGTCCTAAAGATAAAAAAATTAATGCTGAAACTTGATGTTTGCGTAAGACTAATTATTTTACCTGAGTGACTTCTAGTAAAAATACTTGTTATATATAAAGCTGTTTAACTTGCTGTGTTTTGAGTTTAAGTTAACTTAAAAAGTTCATCTTAAATACTTGCACAGAATTGAAGAGGTTTGTGATATGTGAACTTCTTAATGCACCCTGCATTAGATGCCTTATCTGAGGAGTTGTCCCTGACACTCAGAACATTTCTGTGCTCTGCAGGGTGCGTTAAGAGTGCAAACAGAATGGTATGTGATCGTGGATCTCTTTTTTTTTGTTGACGTGCTTTTTCTTCTGGTGTTCTAGAATCAACATACCATTCACTTTCAAGTGTTAAAATTCTGGTGTATTTAAAGCTATAAGAAAAACTCATGACTGGGCTTGTGATGTTAATATTGCCCCCCTACTGGGGTTATTTGTCCTTGGGTTGAAGGGTTGGAAATCGTGCCAAATGGGATAACATTGCCGGTGGACTTCCAGGGGAGGAGTACGGGGGAGGCCTTCGTGCAGTTTGCTTCACAGGAAATAGCTGAAAAGGCTCTAAAGAAACACAAGGAAAGAATAGGGCACAGGTGGGGATGGATGGTTGGTTGGCTATGTCACTTTTCTTATGGTAAATAATTAAATCCATACTCTCTCTTCTGAAAGTGTTAACATCCAAATAGAAATAGTATTTTGGTCTCTAACTTGGTGATAAGTAAAGGTATTGCTAATGTGCGTGGGGCACAGAACCTTTGGATCTACCCAAAATGAAAGATTAAATTGGGCTAAGCTTGAAGTGTGCTTTGGAAGCTGGGTAATCTCGGAGGAGTGCAAAACTGATAGCTTGAAAGTGACAAAGTTGAGAGACTATGGCTTTAACTTCTCAAATAGCACCGATTATGCCTTTAGAGCTAAAGACATGCACAGTACTCTTACTACCATAAGAAAATGTGATACTTTCTAAACTTGTTTTATAAGTTGAAATGTAACAAATCTACTTACTGTATTAATCTTCAATGTAATAAGCATAGCTTTCAAGAAATTGTCACAAAGGGTTTTTATTCTATTTTACTTGTGACTATTTTTCATTGAAGCATGCACTTCTTTGCCTACGCTGAATCACTGAAGCATAGGCTGGGTTCACTAGCACATGCAGAGCTTTTTGTAGCATCCTGATGGGTTAAAATCTTGGTGGAGACCGGGTTTTTAACCCTCTGTTTACATTGCCACGTGAGCAAAACAGTGCCGAGTTGAGCGGACGTTGGTCCCTCCTATGTTTTTTGACTAACACTTTAAATTGGGGGGAGGAGGGTGGGGAATCAACATTGCTCCCCCACCCTTAAGGCTGGGATACTGTGACGTATGAGGAGCACGTAAACCCTTCAGTAATTGTAATTTCTTGAAAATACACTGATTTGAAAGTAATGTAGTCCTTATAGTATGTCATTGCCTACATAACGTAAAGAAACCTGGCTTAAAATACACTGCCAGTTTCAAGGCTATGACTAAATGGTTTGTTTTAATGTGAAGTTGTGAGGTGTTTGTGGAAGGAATTAAAGACTGACTTCTTTCTGTGGAAACACTTCTAGGTACATTGAGATCTTCAAGAGTAGTCGAGCAGAAGTGCGCACTCACTACGACCCTCCACGCAAGCTGTTGGCAATGCAGAGACCCGGTCCTTACGACAGACCTGGTCTTACGCGGGGATACAACAGTCTTGGTAGAGGAAGTAGCTTGGAAAGAATGAGGCGTGGAGCCTACGGAGGAGGTAAGCATGCAGAGTCCAAGAGGGAGTTGCTCATCTGACGAGCAGCAACACTTGGAGCTGGTAGGGTCTTTGCTGGTTTATATATGTCCTTGGCTTTATTTCTTCTAGAAGAGATGAGACTTTGTAATACTGGTTGTCTGCAGTGTGTTCGTGTACATTTGGATCTTTCTGAAAATGAAGTGAACATGTTGTCCGATCTATTTATAGGTTATGGAGGTTATGATGACTACAATGGGTATAATGATGGCTATGGTTTTGGTTCTGATAGATTTGGAAGAGGTAAGATTTCTCTAATAGGAATAGTAACTGAACTTTTCAATACATTCCAAAAGAAACTAAAATACATCTGAAAGACCTAGAATGGACTCTTTTCTCTGCAGGAATGTCGGACCACAGATACGGCGACGGGGGATCCACCTTCCAGAGCACGACTGGCCACTGCGTCCACATGAGAGGTCTGCCTTACAGAGCTACGGAGAACGACATCTATAACGTGAGTTCCCAGTCTGCCCTTCTCTTATGGGAATGGCTTTAAGATTCTGTCATCGTCACTGGGCGTGTCAGCTGCGCTGCAGCTAGTGAGTGTTCCGTTAGAGAAAAGGACTTGCTGTAAAACCGAACTGTCGCATTGGTGCGTTTTAATCTGTGTGACTGTTTTGTATGTAGTTCTTCTCGCCTCTGAACCCTGTAAGAGTACACATTGAAATCGGACCAGATGGCAGAGTTACCGGAGAGGCAGACGTTGAATTTGCTACTCATGAGGATGCAGTGGCCGCAATGTCCAAAGACAAAGCAAATATGCGTAAGTGCGACTGTTCTGAATACGTGGCTTTAGGGAAAATAACGGCACTGCAGTGTAGTACATCCGCTGTAAGTGGAATGGCAAAGGTTTTATTGCAGCCTTACTTGCAGTGAGGCAAAACTGCCCAGGTTTGGTGTGAAATGCTCTCATGGCAAAATTTTCTTCTTCCAGAACACAGATATGTAGAACTCTTCTTGAATTCTACAGCAGGAGGAAGTGGTGGTGCCTATGGCAGTCAGATGATGGGAGCAATGGGTATGTGTAAACAGTCTAACTGCACTTTGAACCAAGTACTTGATATTTAACGAAGCTGGCTGGTTTTATACAGCTCCTGCTTGTTCTATGCGTGACATAAAAACTGAAATTCAACATTCTGTCTTAATCACACAGTCAAGGAATCGGAAGGGGTAGTCCAAGATTGGAACACTAGCACATTGCCAGGTATATAAACCTTTTGGTAATACATTGGAACAATTAATAGGGTGGATAAACTGGTGCTGAATGTGGGGTGTGTGGTGGGATGAGTGGCTCTGGGGAGTGTGGTGGGGTGAAAGTGAGGTGGGAGGTGCCTGTCCTTTTATTCTTCTCCTTCCCCACCCCCCCTTTTTTTTTTTGGAGACCAGAATGTAGTCTGGTGATGGAGGATGTATCTGTGGCACATGACCTGCCACTCAAGCCTGGTCTTGGTGGTGAGGGAATTTGGAGAAACAGTCTGAGTTGCTCTAGCAAACTCCCCAAATTGTTTGAAAATCCAAAGTGTGTGTTTGCAATCCAAGTCTAAGTGACTGCCACGACTGTGTCTGTGGCGCAGATACTCTTCCTGATACCTGACTTGTCTGGTTCCTTGGCGATTAAGGTGGTGGTTGGTTTCTGGGGGGTTTCTTTCTTGAGGGTGGGGGAATATGCGCGTGCAGATACTCTGCTGCTTTTATAGCATTTTGATTACAAAATATTTGAAGTCTAATGCTGATGCTTTAACTACAGAAGAGTTTTGTGGGAGTTCAGGCAAGTGGTGAGGTGCAGAGCAGTAGTTAGTGAGCTGAAGTAGAGCTCTCTCCATTGTGGTGAGCCATAGCACTGCTGTGATGGGGCACAACCAGTCTGGAACAGGCATCAGGCTCTGTCGGGGCTGTACACAAACCAGTGATTCCGTTGACGAGTCGGCTAGGCACTGCCATGGGCAGCAGTCCTGTGTGAGCTTGGTTAAGGCCAACGTTAAGTCTCTTGAGGTGTGCGTTACAGACAACAGCAGATTGATCCTGCTAGGATAGTCCTTAGAAACAGCAGAAGTTAACCCTTACAGCGAGTGCTTGAGAGTCACAGGTGCTTGCTGTAATTCTTAAAGGTTCTTGTTGCTGCTTGATTGTAGGAATGTCTTTAAAACCTGATCCCTTTGAGCTTGCTGGTTATGAAGAAAATTACATAGGTGGGAGCGAGGTAGTGCCAGAGTACAGGGGCTGTTAGGTGAAGGGTGGATTTGTTGCTAACGAGCAGACTCTGTGACAGGCAAGCTCTTAATGTTTTTGTCCTTAACTTGAAAGGAAGCCAATCCAGTTACGGTGGTCCAGCTAACCAGCAGTTGAGTGGGGGTTACGGAGGAGGATATGGCGGTCAAAGCAGCATGAGTGGCTATGGTAAGAGCATTTCCTCACTCGTTTTATGTGGGCCAAGGGCAGCCAGCTTAGCCTGTCTTAAGGTGCTGTTTGCTGGTGTGGCGGGGGCATGCTACGGCCTGGGCAGCACAAGCCCTGGCAGTTGAAGATTTGGCTATTGAGCATTTTAGAGCTAATGGGGAACTGGAGGGGAGTAGATTCCAAGCAGGAGCTTGGAGCTGAGGGTGGGGGGAAATGTGGGAAATTGTTCTGGAAGGGGTAGGAAATGCCAGCCCCCAGACTTCCAGTTATGAAAGCTGGAGACCAACCTGGTTGCCAAGTACAAATGGGGGAAGGTACATGGGGGTGGTGGGGTCCTCTCCATGTCCACAAATGGTGAAAACAAGACTGAATTTGAAAGGGGGGTGGGGGTGGGCGAGGCGGAGCTGGCTCTTTTGTTGAACAACCCATAAGCTTAATTTTTGGGTATGGAGCTGTAAACTGACACGGTGCACTATTGGGCACAGTAGACGGTATTTACGAGGTGGCCCAGCACGGACAGGCGCTGGGGGAAGGATGCTTCGAATCGGCCTGAACCAGCTGTGAACCCGCTGTCGGTTTTCCCCCTCAGACCCCGGGAGCCAGGGCGCCATGAACAGCAGCTACTACAGCAGCGGGAACCGCGCGTCCATGGGAGTGAACGGCATGGGCGGCATGTCGAACATGTCCAACATGAGTGGTGGCTGGGGAATGTAACCCATTGCTGACTTTTGGTCACATCTTTTTTTAAAAAACAAAAAAACAAAAAACTAAGTTTAACAGTTTTGCAATACGAGCTTGTGATTTATGCTTTACTGTAAGTGAATTCAGGATTGTTATTTTAAAACCTTTCGGGTTCAGTATTTTTGAACATACAGAAATGAACATTCATCTAGGATGTAATAACCAAGTTGAGTAAAGACTATAACTGTTAAACAATTTTGAGCGTTTCTCAAGTTAGTTTTGTTGTAGGAGTGTATTTAAGCAGTAAGCGTATTTAGGTTAAAGCTGTTTGAATTATGTTAAATGTTGCTCTTATACCATACTACATCCACCACTGTTTTGAATACATGTTGAAAAAGACATGCTTTTTTGTAAAGAAACAATCTAGGAGCTGTGTCTGAAATTCAAAGTGAACATTTGGCATGTTAGTTCTAGTTTCTTTCTTTTAATATCCTGTAAGGCACGTTAAAGCTTTTTTTTTTTTAAGTTAATGGGGGAAACGTGTTGAGACGCAATACGGCTACTTTAGGATTTTGGTCTTGGTGTTCGTATAAAATTCTGAGGCCTTGATTTAATCTTTCATTGTATTGTGATTTCCTTTTTAGGTGTATTGCGCTAAGTGAAACTTGTTAAATAAATCTTCCTTTTAAAAACTGGAACTCTTTCCTTCTTGACCTCCAGCTTCTGCAGCGTGGCTGCACCTGCAGAAGTGTCCCTGTGCTCCTGTGGCCTTGGTGGCCACAGTACTCTTAGTGTGCGTCTGCCATGAGCTGGCCTTGTAGGATGTTAAAGGGACGGTTGTTTGTCAGCTGAGGGCGGGTGGTGGAGAAAACCAGCCCCTGCTGCTGGGGGTGCCCAGGGGGCTGTCAGCAGGAGCTTGCTCCTGGGGGTGATTCTGTATTTCCTTGTAGGCGTCTCCTCTCTGGAGCCAACCTGCTCCCGCAATGGACACTGCAGCTTCCTGCACCCGTGTTTCAATAAATTCTGCTTGCCAAACATCATGCTTAAAGATGTGGTTTTATCAGCAGCTTGGTGACAGCTTCCGAGCACTGGAAGTTCCCCTGAAATAATAGGGAATCTGCTTCCATGCGTTGGCCGCAGTGCATTAATTTGCCCTTTCTAATTATCCCTGCTTCCCCTGGGGCCCCTTTCCACAGTGAAGAAAACCCCATCACGGTCTGTGGCAGGGGATGTGTGAGGGTTAAATCCTGAGCGCTTCCTACCGCAGCCAGGGTTGTCACTGCCTCATTAAAAACCTGCTGCCTGCCCTCTCGCTTGAGGGATGAGGCAGGGTTGGTGCCAGGGCCCGGCTCAGGGCGGACTCGGGTCCCTGCTGAGCTTCCACCAGCGCTGGGGGGAATCGAAGAGCAGAAGGGCAGAGCTGCGATCTCACCTGCGTCGGTTCTAAGCGCAGCCTTTGGAAGCAAAGCCCTGTATGCAGACACCCGCTCGCTTGGGCTCACTTGGCTGCATCACGTGGCATTCGCGGAGCGGCGTGGGTGCTTACCGGTGGTGGTGCGTGACAGCTGGGGACCCTGACACAACGGCCGCGGAGCCGGTCATCCCTCAGCACAGGCTGTCTATCACAAACCGTGCTCGAGCAAACGGCTTTGGTAGCAGGAGATGTGCCGCAGTCGGCGTTACCCTGGCTGGTGTTGGGTCGGAGCAACTGCCCCGCTGCGTCCCCAGCACGCTGGACTCCCTGCCTCCTTTTTTGCTGGGGAAGTACAGCAGCAGTTCCTGCCGCAGCACAACATTGGCTTTACTGGGCACCTCCCAGGACAATCCTGCACCTGGTGGCAGTTACCCTCCATGCAGCTTACACCCTCAGCTGTACACCACCATTCTCTCCCAGGATCTGTGACAGACAGCTGTTAAAAATCAGACCTTCAGTCTTGCTTTCAGTTTTTGCAAAAAGGTTTTATTGTGTAACTACCGTGCTGTGGTCACAGAGACTTTCAGAACGAGTACCCGGTGTAGTTTTTGACTGCAGTGAAGGGAAGGCACATTCATTGACGCTCATCATAAAGCTCTTTCTATAGACAATTAATAAATCAACTTCTCTTCTCGGTACTTAGAGCAAATACAAAACTGTACAGTAGCCAGTGAGATGAACAGGAGCACCTACAGTGACTCTACAGAGGAACTGACGTTAATGTGCAGACAGACAGCCATGGCTAGAGGGATCCAATAAATGTAGAAATGCCATATACAAATTTTAATACAAATATCTATAAAAATCAGAAAAGTGAATTTGCCTTTTAGTTTCAAATAGAACTTCAAGAGAAGTTACAGTTGATAGAATTTTCTTAATTATTCCAGTTGGAGAGACATTAGCTTGCATAATCCCTACAAATTATTTTACACTGCTCTGTCTTAGAGTGGAAAATACTAGAGACCAGACACCCTGCTGCACAGAAGGTGCCTGGAACTCAGAATTAAAAAAATAATGGCTACTTTCCAACGTTAAAGTGGTCCTGTCAAGGTGACGAAAGCCTTAGGAGGAATTGGACGAACACCGCTGAAGGAGTAAAGTGTGACAAGTATCGCAAACACGGACAGGTTTAGGATACGATGGCAGTGCAAGTTCATTACTGGAACAAGTGTTGCAGAAGATGTCCCCACAGTTTCTGCAGTGATGCTACAAACAGAGAGTTAGAATAAACACAGCTGCCTAAAGAATAGACACAGCTGCCTAGAATAAACACAGCATCAGCAAGAGAGAAATCAGACCGTACAAAAGCCTTCAAAGTCCACTGACATCAGCCTCCAGTTCCCAACAGGCCCAGCCCTCCCAGCAGCACTCCCTCCTGTGCCCTGCACAGCCCGGCTTCCCTCCACCACCCAGACCTCGCCAGGGGCTGGAGGAGACACTCGCTCCGCTGGCACTTAGCAGCGCTCTGGATCACCGGGCAGCCAGGCCCCTGCTTGCAGGAAAGCACCCGCAGGCCCGGCTCTACAGCGAGGAAATCTGGTGGTTGGGCTGCCCCACGCCCCGTGCAGGCGGACCGAGCTGTCCCAAACCACGCAGCAGGACCCCAGCCGCAGTTCCCTGCGACTGGGAGGCACTGAGCGCGGCTGCCAGCACCCAGTCCTCGGTACACACGGCCCAGCGGGGAAGGGAGATATGAACCACAGCACAAGAGAACACAGCCCCTAACAAGCTCCCACCAAGGAAAGCACCCAAGCAGAAGAACATAATTTTTAGGATGGGAAATGCCAAATTACTTCTCTGTGTAGTTATCATGCCAACAAGATCTGGAATTGAAGCAGTGTCAGTCTTCCCCAGCAAACTATGCAGCGGCACAATTTTTGTTTTCCATGACAAAAGGAAAAAAGAATCCAGTGAACAACACTACCTTCCTTCTCGAGATAGAGAATTCTTTTTCACATTGCTTGCAGTGTGTTGCTTCATCGTCCTTCAGCCAGGTATGACCCTGCGAAATTGGAATGAAAACCTCACTGTAGATGCAAATAAATTTATAAACTAAAATTCAAAGGCAGTTTACCAATGTTGTTGGTATTTTTCAAAAGCCGTTTTTTAAAGTAGGATAACCTTGGTGAAATGTGAAGGTGTTAAATGAAACGCATATGTTTAGTCAAAATATCCATAAGATGCAGAGTACCTTTAGCGCTTTATTTACTTCTTTAATATCTTCCATCTTCAACTTTGATCTGGAAAAAAAAAAAAAAACAAAAACAAAAAAAAAAAAAAAAACACAAAAGCAAAAAAAAAAAAATCATTCCCCCTGCATGACTTGGCATTTAGTTGTGCTCCATTTCACCTGCCATTCCACTGCCCAGCCACTGACTCTGAACTCCGGTTCTTCAGCCAGCTCCCAGCTCTGAA